ATAGAAATATATTCATAGAATTTTACAGTATCTCCGCTTTAGGTAATTGTTCGTGTGTAAAATAATTTATCATTGAATTTAAATTTAGCACATCCATTATAGTAACAYATTCAATGACGATGTACACTCCCAAAATCATTTATTCAGCAAACTGGCTTTCCAGTTTTTTAATATTTTTACAAACAATAGCTGAATTGAAGTATTCTTAATAGCTTTTGAAATGTGTAGAAGTCTTTATAAGATATATTAACCACTTGATAAGACTAAAAGGACCACAAAAAAAGAACCGCTCAAAAGACCGTTTACTTCAATAATTGATTAATTTTAAATTAGTGTATTCTGTGTATTATACTATCATTGTTATAATATTATTGAATAATTGTTTAATCATAATGCAATACTTTGAATAATTTAATATTATTTTATTACAATTAAGCCATCAATTGATTATTTACATAGGTTCTAAGAATACAAATTTCAGACATACTCAAATTATGTAATATAATATTATATTTGTATTATGGTATTGGTTTATTGTGCTTTAAATATTTCACATACAATTTCGTTAACTGAATAAAAATCATATTTTAAACAGATCTTTTTTTTGATTCCTTATAATTTTCTTCAATATGACGACAAATAAACAATAATTTACGACACATACTTAATGATCTTTTTCCCTAAGTTTAAATTGAATATAAAATGTACAAAAACATGTATTTCAAACTTAAGAGACTTCAGTAAGTGTAATATGCTAGAATAATATGTGGAATTTCAATATAACATTTTTATAAAAAATAAAAACTAGTCTTATTTATATTTAATTTCTTATACCTACCTATACAAATATACATTTTCTAAGTCAGCGGTATTTATTATCCCAATGCAATAATTAGAAATAAAAATAATTATATATTTTTGTTATTAATTACTCAAGTTAAATATATCACTACTCAGTAGGTTACTTTAATTAGTTACTATTGTTAAACATTAAATAATAGAATAATTAAGTATTCGTGGTAATGAACTCTAGGTAAAACTATAAATTACAAAGTAGAGTATTTACATTCATATAAGTAGTGTTCTTTTTAGAAAGAATAAAAACACAAAAATTATAGTAGCATATATTATATTTTATATTATTATGGACAATCAAAGTCTTTATTGATGATTGGTCGTTGATTACAGTTCAAAGAACTATAACTTTTAATAATTATTTTTGCATACTTATTACTTACACTATTTAAATAAGCTATATAATTTATTATGCACAAATAAAAATTTGTATATTTTAACTATAAATAATTAATGTGTCATAATAAACATTAATTAGGAATCTATGTATTTATAATAATTCTCATAATCATTGTATTATTTAGACATTCAATAAGTAGACACCTAGCGGTATATACCTACTATATCTAAAAAAAAATATTTTTTTGTAAATCAAAAATTATATATAATATGCCTMTCAGTTTGTTAAACAATGTATGATTTTTTTAAATACGTTAGGAAGGGGAACTTGACTAATAAGATGGAATTTATGAACTTGAGTTAAAAAATAAAATTAAAATAGGAACTGAGTGTTCTGAAAATGAAATAACGGTGATTATAATATATTATGTTTATTTAGATTRTATTATGCATTTGAAAAACACGTGTCTTATACTATTCTTGTGTGTTAATCCTAGTTACGAAATACTTATGTAGTCTTATTTCAATAACAACGAACACTTTTAATATTTAGCACAAAGCAGTTGATAATTTCTGTTGAGTTATCATTTCAGGATTGACTTATTTTAAATGTATCGAGTGCCTGCAGACGATTGTTGTATCACTAATGTTTTAGGTGGTTAGGTGGCTTTGGTGACACAACTGTTGCCAGTTAATTTATTTCTGTAGGTGTAAAAAAACCTTTTGAATGAAAATTCGTATTTTTTTTATTTGATTCCTATTTTTAYATTAGTTCAGTATAAATATCAATTGTATTCCCCCTCTCCAAATACATAAGAATGTACTAATAAATATAATAAAACGTCAAGACGTTGTTTTTGTTTTCTYTGAAGTTACTATAAAATAAAACGTTATAACCACAAATGTATCGAAATTAAAAAGTGCTATAACTTCGAAATACGGCAAATTGTATATTTCTTCTCGGTAGGTAATTGGAAATTAATTTACAACTCACTTAAGCGTGTCTATTAAACACACTTTCGGAACAAATATGAAAATTTGACAAGTCATGAGCTCGTTATACGAATTAGACGTATGTAGTATGTGAAATAGACATTTTTTAAATTTTGCATAACACAGAATATACAGATTTATTGTTATTGTTCATAAAATAACCTTCTCAAATTAAAAAAAAAAAATAATAATATGTAGTTTGCTATTTCGAAATCTTTATTTCAACGTGAGGTAAGTACCAATAATTATTTTAAAATAAGATTCGCATCAATTAAATATTGTTTGTACCGTCTCGTACATAAGCGTTAAATTTGAAACATAAAATAATCCAAAGATAATATTTTTTGATAGTTATAGGTCAACTTACTATGATAATCTAAATAAAAAACTGTATAGACCGTATGTTTAAAACATATTTGACGGAGGCAACATCAAATTATGGGTACCTACGTGTTATCTCTCTCTCTCTCTCTCTCTCTAAACAGGTTTGATTTAAATCAGTGAGGTCACACACAAGCCAGTTATACCGTTATTTTCCATACTAATGTAAATAATTAACGATTCGCAATCAGAGACTGTAATATTTCAATCGCACCTTGCAAATCTACAAGTGAATGATAACACGACCTGCCAATAAATAATGGTACGCACTTTTAAAATCYTATACCTAGTGTTAATAACTGTAGTCATGGGCCAACGACTTAGCGATAAATGATACTCGAAGACCTTGAGAAAAATCCAAAAGTCGTGATTTTCACATCAATCATTAATCACAATAGATGTATATAATATAGGACTTGCCTATCCATCGATTAATGTCACAACTTAACGTGTACACGCACAAACATATGTGAGCCACAATCATTGAACCCTTTAGAGTTTAGACATAAACATTAAACGTGGATCGCACGCATGGTTTTTTGTTGATACTAAACTTTGTTCATCAGTGTTTGGTAACTACTCCGCAGAGTTAAATTGCCCAAAACGGGTTTGCACAACATTAAATAACATACCTAATTATTTGTTATTAATGAAATATTGTAGTTCAACGATTTTATGACGTATGTTATATTTGTTTCGTTTCGTACAGTAGTTCAAACAACCGATACGCATAATAATCAATAATACTTACCATTATACACATTATATAATATGTACACAAACATGAACATGTGTTATCATTAATCGATACAAACATAAATCCAATGATAAAATATATTCAGATAAGGCGATCAGAACACAATAAAAGGACCGAACGTCTTAATCACCCACTCATTCGGYGTGGATCACATAACAATAACATATATAGTATCATGTTGTGTCTCGATCTGACGAGTGAACAGTGTTCAGAMGGAAATTAGCGTTTGAAGACGTTGCGTTTTGTTCACCGGCTGCACTAGTCGACACATTCGTAATAATTCGTGGGAACATAAAAAATATTATTTTTTACTGTTTTGTTTTTTTTTTTTTTATCGTTTWAAACGTGTTGTATTTACTCAGATGGTATTACGTACCCACACTAAATATTAATAGGTAGAACCATCGTGGATGTTTTCCGATTCGTAAAAGTTTTTCCCACTATTATCGGTGGAGATTTTCAGAAAATTCCATTCAAACTTACTAATTCCCACGTATAACATCAAGACGATAGTAAATTACCTACTACTATGAAGTTAAATTCACGTAAGTAAATGTTTAGCTTTCTATCATATAAGAAAAATGAGTGTTTTATATAAAAAACATAAAAAAAATATAAATTTATGACTTTACAGTTATGTTATCAATATTTTTAAAAATTTAATAATKTAAATAACAGCTTTTTTGTTTTTTTTYTTGTGAAAACCCTTCAAAACTGTTATTTTAAAAATTGACTAACTAAACTTATAATTACAAAGTTCTAACAATACTCGTATCTGAGATTTATTTAACTTAATAATTATTTTGATGATGAAATTATAAGAATTAACACATATTTTGTTTAAACAAAATATATATACTTTRATATTAGGTAAAATTAAACTCCTTTTACATTTTATTGGCAGACTAACGATTAAATATGTTTCGCCTTAACTAAAAAAATTTAAATCAAAATATTAAAAAGAATAATCTAGGTATCAAAAATCTATTTTTAATAATAGATTTATAAACTAAAAGAATACCAAAACAAATTATTATCTATATAACATTTTGAAAATGGTTTCAATGGTAAATGAAAAATGTACAGTTAATAAAAAAAATTACCTGCTAATAATAGCATATTATTTTATTGATTATTCAATATTCTAATCTATAAAAAATAAACGTTATGTTTATTAGTTAACAATTTAATGTGATGAAAGGTGATAAACCGTAAACACCAAACACATTAATCAATATGAATGTATGTTATGTTATACCTAATGATCATAAAATATAATAAATACTTTTTAATTAGAATATTTTAATACTGAATGCATTTTATTAAAATGATTTTGTTTTAATTGCTTTTTATCTCATTACAGAATCAAAGTAGTCATTRGTACTACATAATATGCACATAACTACCAATAATAATAATAATCAAAATACAAGAGACCTAATTTCGTTATTGCATTATTTGATTAGTTCATTCATGTATAACTATTTACCTACTGTAATTAATTAAATTWTCATAATATAATTTATATTTTAAAACTTTTTATCCCGTAGGCAATACTTGGATTGTTTTATCGTAGTTATAATTTTGTTTCAAGTATAAAGTGATCTTAATTAACTATTAAAATTAAAAGTACTAAGTATAAATGTGTTAGGGTACGATAATAATATACTGTTGTTTGATAATATTATAAATTATGTTTTATGTTATACTAAAGTTAATGAACTATTATATGACCCCTTTCAATAAAAACAGCCATAAAATATAATATTAATATAAGCACCTTCCATTCAATCATAGTATATAAAAACAAAAAAGTCATAATTTAATTTCCATACTTCAAAGTACAAATAAGTAGTTTTTCGATTTCTGTAAATTATGACCATACTACTGAGTACTGACGACTGATTGAAACATTTTTTTTTTGTTTTTGCTGCAGGGCACGTGTCTCAGAGATGGGTGATGGCCGTGATGGGAATGATGGGCGTCACGATGGCGTATGTGATGCGGGCCTGTTTGGGCTTAACGCTCACGCAAATGGTCAGGCCCGTGGTTGTGGAGGGTGGAAGTACAAGTTCTGTTCATCACGATTACTGCCCAATGTATAAGTCATCATCACTCAGCCAATCTAAGTCCAACCGGACAACAATAGTCGAGGAGGAAAAGTTCAAAAATCGGTTCGATTGGGACGAAAAGACGCAGGGCGAGATCCTGTCGTCCTTTTATTATGGTTACATACTCACTCACTTACCCGGTGGCATCTTATCTCAGAGATTTGGTGGTAAGCACACGATGGGCTTTGGAATACTGTCCACCGCAGTCTTCACGCTGATGACTCCATACGTAGCGTATATGGGTTCCTGGCCACTGACAATTTTGCGGTTCGTCGAAGGACTCGGAGAAGTAATGATGACGATTTACACCTTATACGATTTTAGTAAAACTATTGTGGCTGACTTAATTTTTTATCATCCAGGGAACAACTTTCCCAGCACTCTGCACGCTTCTGGCACAGTGGGCTCCACCAGAAGAAAAGGGAAAGCTCTCCACACTGGTGTTTGCAGGTAATATATATAATAACGTATTTACCGACCAGCAAGCACCATCCCACCTTTATGAAATACATATATTAACAACTTATGATAATAACGATGATTTGTGCAACAGGTGTGCAAATTGGTAATATTTTTTCAAACTTCTTGAGTGGTTTCATCATACAATACATACCCGGTGGTTGGCCAAATGTCTTTTACTTCTTCGGCATAACCTCGTTAGTTTGGTTTGTGATCTGGTGTATGTTCGTTTACAATGACCCTAATTCCCATCCGTTCATATCGGACATGGAACGAGACTACTTAAAACAGTCAATCGGAAGCCTAGAAAGAAAAAAGGTACGTGAAACAAAATGATCATGGACAATCGCAACACAACTATATATTCTTGATAGACTTGATGAACATATTATATTTTAATACTTGAATTGGTTATAACAGGACTTGGCCCCAACACCATGGAAGTCCATATTAACGTCGTGGCCAGTATGGGCACTGATTATTGTCGAAGCAGGACATGACTGGGGTGGTTTTACGATTATCAGTGATCTCCCAAAATATATGAGTGACGTCTTACACTTTTCTGTTACCGAGGTAAGTCTGATAAATATTTACAATTATGATTGAAATGCAGTTTACAGTATAAAATGTACAAAGAATAATTTAAAAATTTTCCATTTATAGAACGGTTTATTGTCATCCATCCCATACATCGCCCAATGGGTTACGTCTATCTTAGCTAGTATATTGGCGGACCGACTGATAAGCAAAAGAATAATGAGTGTAACTGCAGTCAGAAAAAGTTATGCTATTATTGGTGAGATTTAATATGAAAACATAACTTATATCAGTTATACCAATGCTGGTAACCGACAATAATGATATGATTTCAGGAACTGTTGGGCCAGGTTTGGGTGTGATGTGTGCTTCGTTTGTCGGATGTAATAAAATAATCGCCACTCTGTGTTTTACTTTGGGTATGGCATTAATGGGTTTCTGTTATCCCAGCATCCGTATAAATTCTCTCGACTTGTCGCCCAATTATGCTCCTACCATTATGGCACTGGTAAATGGTATTGGTTGTTTATCAGGAATGGCCACTCCATACGTCGCCGGAATTCTCACTCCAAACGTAAGTTTATTGTATGCCTAGTCATTGAGGTTAACTATTTAAAATATCGATAAGTATGATTGATTCGTTACACATATATAATATACATTTCATGTTTAAAAAATAATGTACGTTAGGAGGAGGGTTTTGAACATAGAAACTAATGAACCAATTGTCTCCAAATATTCCTTATTATTCGGTGATGGGGTGTAGTTATTTTTAGTCAAATTTTTGACCCATTTATAGGTTGTTATAAATGTGTTTCCTATGGTGTTTTAGTTTTTGCTCTCGAAAATTGAAYACCAATTGTTAATAATAATTATGTTTGTAATTGTTAGTTATATACTCATAAAATACTTCACCAATTTTGTTGAACTTTTTAGAAACTGTTCTTAGTGATGTCCGAAAAGTTTAAAGATTTTTGTGTTTCATATCATATATTTGAAAATATACTAAGCGTTATCACTGACTTGACAAGATATCGCATATCTAACAATGGTTTATTAGTAATGATCTATAAATTGTTATTAAGTATTGTACCTAAATACTTCATAAAAATAAGTGTCTAATTAATTATTACATTTTAATTTTTCAGAGAACTGTGTTAGAGTGGCGTCTTGTATTCTGGATTATGATGATAGTAATGACAGCTTCAGCTGTGGTGTATGGGCTATTTGGATCTGGTGAGTTGCAACCATGGGATGACTTAGAACAACATTATCTAAAAGAAAAGGAAAAAGCTAAGAGGGGGTTGCCTATGGATGAAAGATTAAGTATAATTCATTCAAAATCCATTGAAGATGGGACATCGATAAATAATTAGGATCCTGACTAATGAAACCAACAAAACTATCCTATACACTGTAAATATAATTATTAACACATGTTACCTATTAGTTTATAGTAATTATATATTGTGAATAATTAGTTTGTAAATACTTGTTATATTTAGAACTAGTTAAATGTTGTAATATTATTTAAAAATAATTATAGGAACATACGTTATATTTATTATTTGTAGATTAAAAATTGTATATTTATTTTAAATTAAAAAAAAGTTAAATTTGTAATATTTTTTTTCTTCAATGATAACTTAAAATTCTATAGCCTTTAAAATAATGTGAAATCACTATTGTATTTATTAATTATTATTATTAAGAAAATCATATAAATCAGTTGAATTTTTTTTTCTAACATAATGAATTTATATTATACTATCTGTCCTTTTAGGCTTGGGCAGCGAGCACTCTGTATATTGTACACTGTACAGTATAGCAATGAAAATATTATGGAAAATATAAATCAACAATATTTTATTGTTTTTCTTTATTGATCTAATATAAATTGTTGTTGACTTTTAAAACTTTCTAATATATTCCAATATTAGATAACATTTTATCTAACCTAATGCTTTAACTTTAATGTATCACATATTTTTTTTTCTCTATTTAAGTTTGTAGGTCCAGACATTTGTTGTTTTGAAACCACCAGTGTATATAAAATAAAAATGTCATAATATTTTTGCTTATGAAATGAATTTAAATAAATATTTTAATGTATTTAAAAATAGATGATAGGTAATATTAGCCATAAATCACAGGATTTGTTAAAATTACAACAATTTAATATTTTTTAAATTATTAATAGAAATTGAGATTRCTCTCAACGTTATAAACTCGATCGAATTATTATTAAAATAATTGTATTGCAATAACGAAGTAATTGGACTTTTGATTGCAAAGCCATTATATTACATAATATCTTTTGTGCGTTTTTTTATTCAATTTTGTTACATTATTTAAGTACACTATAATATTTCAAATTTTAATTAGTATATACTGTTTTACAAACAAATATTTAAATTAATTTCGTTAATCTTACCATTCAAAATGTTTAAAATGTTTAATCATTTGCTTACCAATATACTAACATACTCTGTTACTTTTTAAGTTCAGCTAAACTGCGCTAAAAAAATGTTAGATATATTATTTTATAGCTCAGTTATGGGATTCTGAGTGGAGTCCTGAATGTAAGCACTGGTATTAGTATGATTTTTTTTTTTTAATCTGTTGACAACTATTATTGAAGCATTAAAATATCTTCAGTCTTAAAAATTTAGTTTTGTTTTGGGGATATTATAAAATTTGGATGTTATTTTGGTGGGCGAATGAAATTCCAAGTTTTTTTTTAAATAATCGGAAATCAAAAATATTTCAAAATAGATACTTAATACTAGTTTAATAAAATTTATTTTCTTATTTTTCATAAAATTAACAGTCGTTGATATATAATATTCATGACATTTTCACTAAATATTTGCATTATAATTTTCTATTCATAATAAGGTTAAAATGTATAGTAATATTTTTAATATTTTAACCGATTTATCTATAGTGATGAGGCCACAAATGCTGTGATCGGTCTTAGGAGAATTATCAAGAATTAAATGCAAAATATAMACCTGGCAYGAACCTGTAACACGCTAGCCGGACTGGTGAACATGTWACAGTGAGGCACCGTAATTTTCCAATATTAAGAGGACGCCACACCCGCATGTATTGTCTCCGTCGTACAAGTGCGTAGCATAGCAAATTTTACGCTCAGCCGATCACGWTTATCTCCGTTAATTTAAAATTTAGAGTGAATTGACTTATTATGAAAATTAAAGGCAAGATTATTACCGAGAGAATCTCATAGGCTTTTTATTATATTTTAATTTTAAACCGAGTTATGAGTATTTTTAGATATAAAAATAATTTACAATTTTAAAATGGCATCAATACTGTACACAATTTAATAATGTACCACCATAAACATAAAACACTTATAGATTGGTTTTTTCTTTTGTGAAAATTCATTAGAATGTTTATTTTAAAAATTGGCTTACTAATCGTATAACAATATTCATCCCTGTGGATTTTTCATATTACCTAATTAAAATAGAAAAGTGTTATAAAATAAGTAAATATAAAATATGGAAAAATATAACATTCAGATAGGTGAGATTAAAATTATGTTATTTGAAATTCGTGTACGGTTTTTTAAATAAATTTAAATTTACTAAAAAAAAAATGAGGCGTCGGAGGACGCCTGGCAGATGTGAGACCTAGACATTTTTTTGTATACAAAATATGCATAAAAATTTCAAAGATGGTTTATTAAATGTTATTTTGAAGAAAATAAATATATCATAATAAAATTCAAAATATTCATATTTTTTTAAGAAAAAATGTTTAATATTTAATTTGTGCTTTCTTTTTGTGCATGAAATTGTTGTGAAGGTTACACGGATTAACTCGTTGAGAGCGTCACCACGCCAACTAACGGTTTCATCCACCACAATAGATGTTTCACATAAAAAAATATTTTTGAACACCAGAACCGTATTCCATCATAGAGTAACATCCGATTCGAATCCTTATGTTTATTTTGTCACGTCCTGTATGATAGTTAAATAAACATCTCGTTTTCACTCATTGACATATTGTAGGACATCATACAATAATGATTGGATACAAAACTACTATTTTATCTTTAAACATTTATACTACTCTGTTTGCAAACAACGTTTAAGTGATAAGTTTGTAAAACAAGATTTTTATATCGAAATTGTCGAAAACTGATTGGTAAAATCATTTATTCACTGCTGCAGGATACGTGTCTCAGAGATGGGTGATGGCCGTCCTGTCGTCCTTTTATTATGGTTACATACTCACTCACTTACCCGGTGGCATCTTATCTCAGAGATTTGGTGGTAATCACACGATGGGCTTTGGAATACTGTCCACCGCAGTTGATGACTCCATACGTAGCTTACATGGGTTCCAGGCCACTGACAATTTTGCGGTTCGTCGAAGGATTCGGAGAAGTAATGATGACGATTTACACCTTATTGTTACAAAATCATTTTACACTAAATACAATTTTGAGCGATGATGTATTGTTAGTCTATACTACTATAAGTATATTTTACGCTATTTATGAAAGTATTTTATTTAAATATTAGCCATAGGTAGAGTAAGTTGAATTAATTTTTCTTGAAAAAAAATTTTATTTAAAAATATCTGTGCACACAATATAATAATATTATACATCAAGTATATATCTTCAAATATCATTGAACAACCTAATTCAAAATTAAATAATACCTAAAAATATAACTAAAATCATGTTCCTCCGTTTTAAATTAAATGCAAATTTGAACTTAAAACATCTATGTAAAAGCTGTTTTTATATTTATTTTTGATTCTTTTCAGCATGGGCTACTCCGCGAGAAACATCTGTTACAATTATTAAAAACTTTAAATATTATATTATAGATATAAAGTAAAATTTGTTTGYATACTTTTAAATATTTTGGTTTATAATACTAATATTTTAAAATGTTTTATTGGATGTAAATCGTATTAAAATGCGATGATTTGTTTTAGAGTTACACCAAAATGAGGAAATCGCTAAAAGTGAAAATCTGATTTGATTAATTTGGAATTTATTTTATAGGTAAGTACCCTTTTTTTTAAAATAATAATCTGATTAGTTTAATATAAAATATCCTAGACTGGCAAACCGTTTCCACTCAGAATCGTTTTTCGTATACAGTGATATAGTATATCATTGAATTCAAATTTAATACCATCCATTACTGTCACCAATTTCTAAATTACTTTCAGCAGAGCGATATTTACTTACCCGATTTTTTTTTTATTAATAAAAAGGACGTCTTGATAGCGTGACCATTGGCTTTTTAACATATGGTACATATATATATTTTAAATTAAGTTGTACAATTTAATATTTTGCATAAAATAATTCTTTATATTTAAACATAAATATAATATATATGTATATTTTAATTTGGACAAAATTACATATTTAAACTGAGAATAAGGTGTCAAGTTTTTTTTTCGCATCTTAAAAATATTATTCTTGGMTACTTGAAACTGTTAATACATGTATACTGTTTAATATCGATCACAACATAATTGTGAATTCAAGCGTAACATATTACTTGATTTCTATAAATTACAAATTATGAGGAACGTTGTAGACCGTATTATATTTCAAGGTTTTTTGATAAAATAAATATTTTTATCGTCAATAATTGATAAAAATATTTTAAAAAATTGAATTTTTTCGTAGCGATAATAATAGTTCAAAGATAATCAAAATATAATAAATTATAGAAAACTGTTTTTCAAATATTAGGTAAAATTTCAAAGTTTCAACGGTTATTAGGTTTCAAGTTACATTAAAAAAACTAAATAATTTTTGTTCAAAATTTATTTTGCATAAAAATTTTGTGGTATTTCCCGACGCGTTTATGAACTAATATATAATTTTTATGTTTTAGTCTTATAAGTTCAAATTAAACTCACTTAACTAACTTATTAATAATCAATCATTCACATACAGTTATTGTGTGTTAAATTTATATGTTAACCTGAATAATTAATCGAAATTCAAATCAGAAAAAAATTAAAAAATTAAATTTAAACATCATATTATATACTAGGAAATATAAAGTTTGAATTTAATTTCTAGATTAAATAATAAAAAGTAAAAAGTTATATCAAAGAAAATCAGCTTTTTATAAATGGTTTTAATTGGTGTCTGCGCTTTTCAATTTATTTATTCGAAACCATAGGATGATTTAAAAATAGCTAGGTATCGGTTGGTCCTCAGTTAATCTAAATATTTCAACCACAGTAAGTACTCAATCATATTTAGCTATATAGAAGCGAAACTAAAACATAATTAATAACACACATTTTTATTTATATATTTTTTTATTTTATTATGGTATTTATATAATTATGTTATTAAAACCTCGAATAAAATTGTAATTCATTTATTTATTGTGACAGCCATTACAATATTACGGTTTCAAATTACAGCGCAGTGTGTTCGATTAAGTCATGTGATCTTGTGGATGCCCCCAATGGGTTTCGAATATTTTCTGTTACGTTCAATTGTTTCGTTCTTAGGCAACAAGCCAAGGCCCAGACAAACACCATCACCGTAGATATAGAAATGATAGTTAGGAACCAGCCAGAAAGTTTGAATGGGTCCTCAGGATGCGTCAAAGTATTCCTGATCACCTTAAACACCAACCACTTACCCATTTTGACAGAAATCTCTTGCAACTCAGTGACAGGCATGGTCGTCTCACACACAAAACTGTTTCGTGTTACTAAAATGGCTACGCAAACTGGGAACAGTGAATTCGTGGACCGTATCACAATGTCTTCAGGTGGGACATGCTGCAAGTGGTGGCCATGGACGACTAATGAACCGCTTCCGTTAATTTCGAAGTCTAACAATACTGGATCGGGGTGAACGTAAAATTTGGGTGATGGGCCACGAATCACTATTGGCAGTGACTGATTCACGGAAGTATTGTCCTTATTGAATGTGATTTCCAGTCCAAAGTTCAGCAGACGTCCCACAATCGACGCATCTACGTCCCAGCCAGTTCCGTTTACACTTGGTGTTTGACAGACCATGTACGTTTCGTTGACCGGTGAATCGCAATAACTATCTGCGTACTGCCTTATATCATCGGCCAGGTCAACGTACAGGCGGTATGCAAAGCATAGTTCAGCGAAATGATTGCCATGGACTGGCACTGAAATGCCACCAGACACTATGCCCCCAAGCAGTTGGTCAGCGTCCAATACGGGGTTAAGACAAAACTGGAATATCTGCGACGACTCTATCTTCAATACGATTTCGAACGACGAGTACTCGACCAGCACTGGACCAGACAATGTAATGTTAGGTTGTGATGTAGAGCAAGTTATAGTCTCTGGTCCTGACGTTCTGGGGTTCATGCACACCGTTCCAGCAATCGTCACCATTACCGTTCGGTTCTCTGCTAATATCATGTGGTTCTTAACTGTAATTGTTACGGTTGTTCCACCGGTTTCGGGCCCAAACAGTGGATCGACTTCCGTCACATTTATTTCGGCACAATCATTGGTCAAATGTGCTAATTTTACGTTCAACTGTTCTATACCATTGTTCTTCATATACAAACTCTTGGGAACTTGACAGGTGTTGTCCGAGGAACACCATCTCAAGTAGTTCGAGTACCCATCATTATTCCATGCACAAGTTACACATGATTTATACTTCTCGTCGCTGGTACACTCTTCGTGTTCATTAAATGTAGCATAGTGATCAGCGACATTATCAAACCGCAGCATTACGTCATTGAAATTAATAAAAGTAAAAAAAGTAAACGATGGATTACTACTATCAAAATAAGATTTCTTTAAGTAAAATTCGCATGATATTATCGTGTTGTTATATGAGTTAACCTTTCGAGTTGGATATTTGCAATATGTTGGATATCTATTATAAAGTATACAGTTATTAAGATAATTTTTAAAACCTACCAAATCATTCGATAACTTGGCGATGTATTTCAAGGTAACACTTGATTCACCATAATTATACTCTTTAACTACTGAAAACCGCGGACATTCCTCTATTCTGAAGACTATTAAACCAGATGAGCTAAATTGAGTTTTGTTTACACATGTCTGTTGTTGAAGGGACCATATACACATAGCTCTGATAGTACATTTTGTACATGTTATCGAATCTGAACAACTGGTTTTATTTGAGCCAGAAATGAAGGGATTTTTGAGAATCTGAAGATTGAAAGGATCAATAATAGGTGTAGGTGATCTATTAACCAAGGAGTACGACAACGAATCTCCAATATCGACCAAAATCTCATACAACTCAACTGAAGTGATGGTTATGGCTGGATTACATATAATACGTTTTGATTTAACCGATACGACAACACAACCCGTGGCTGATGAATTAAGAAACCGTACAACTACGTCATCCAGTTGGACATTCTCTAAGTTAATGCCATTGATGATTACTGAACCAGCTTCGTCTATTACAAAGTCCTGTAGAATAGGATCGGGTTGCACGTAAAAGCTGAGTGACGTTCCGTTGACATGCAACGATTGATTTCCAGTAAATTTCATCACATCAAGCCCGAAGTTAAGCAGTCGTCCGACAACCGACTGGTTGCCGTTCCAACGAGTGCTGTTCATTCTTGGTGATCGACAAACCATGTATGTGTTGTTAACTGGTGGATCGCAAAAACCGTATGCATACCATCTGATACCATCAGGCAGGTCAACGTATAGTCGAGCAGAGGATACAACGCAAGGTTCAAGGAAATGATTGCCACAGACAGATACTGAAGTGCCACCCGATACTATACCTACAAGTAGCTGGTACGCATCCAAGACGGGTTTCATACAAAACCGAAATATTTGCGATGACTCAATCCTTAGTACTGTTTCGATCGACGAGTACTCCACAACAATTGGACCGGATAATGTTCCAACCGATTGTGTCGTAGTACAAGTTATGGTTTCAAGTCCGGACGTCCTAGGATTCAGGCACTCTGTTCCAGCCACCGTCACCATTACCGTTCGGCTCTCCTCAAATATCCAGTGGTTCCTAACTATGATCGTTACAGTTGTTCCACCGGTTTCAGGCCCTGATAGCGGATCAACTGTGCTCACATTGATTTCTGCACAATCATTCGTCACGTAAGCTACCTTTTCGTTTGACTGGTTTTTAGCATTGTTCTTTATGTATAAACTCTTTTTATCTTTACAAGTGTTTTCGGAGGAACACAATTTCAAATAGTTCGAGTACCCATTTTTATACCATCCGCATGTCGCACAGGCTATGTAATTCTGGTGGGCAGAACATTCTTTAAGTCCATAGACCGTAACATAGTGATCAGCGACGTTATCAAACCGCAGCATGGTATCATTGAACTTGATGAGAAAAAAACTAGTGTCCGGGACTAAGCTAACCGATAATTTTGTTTGGCGGAATGAGCACAATATATTTGTTTCATTAACTATCGTCACTGGCGTTCGAAAATCTGGTTGAATTTCCAAATAAAGTTGAGTTTTGTTCAGATAATTTATAAAACCTACTAAATCATTTTTTATTTTGACAATATATTTAACAGAAATATATTTATTATCATCATATTGATATGTTGTAACTGCAGAAAACTGCGGACATTCCTCTTTTCTAGAAATAATTAAACTCGAAGAATTGAATTTATTCTTGTTTTCACATTCCTGTTGTTTAAGGTACCATACACACATAGGATTGATTGTACATTTGGTACAAGTCATTGAATCTGTGCAGCTAAATTTATTAAATTCCGCTTCAAGTGTACTACTATGTGTTGGAAACGTCAAAGCCTATAGAAACCAAAAATATGTATTATTTTGAGTAACATTTTAAATGCGTCATTATTATTAGATAGTATATTAATTTCAATGATAATTTATTAGATTAATATTAATATCATATTGTTATTAATTGATTGTATTTATAATATTTTTACTAAATGATATATAGAGTGATCTAATGATCTATGTTACAAACTGTTAGTTTTCTTCATATATTTTCATATTTTGTAAATATTTACGTATAAATATATTTTATTGATACTACCTATGGTTTTAAAAATAATTCTTTAGAAATTTTTTCTACATTTGTATTAAAACTTTATGCAGATTCATTTATAATTTATTTATTATAGTAATATAAAATAGTTATTTTACAAAAGTTCCACACGATGTTTTAAATTACTTCCTTAAAATCCAATGTTAATTACTGAACATTTATTTTTAATGTACAATGGATATATTGATAACAGAAAAAATATTGTCATTGGTCTTAAATTATAACTTTTATTAATTATTTGTGCTTACCATCGTATATACGATTAAAAGTAGTTCATTCATAGAATTGTGATTGAAATAGGTTTTATTTTTGTATGACTTTCCGCTACCAGCCATTGCGCTATTCAAACGGTCTTTGTTTCGTACAATAATATTTATCTATAAGCAATATTATTATTTTTAAGCAATTAATATTAAACTATAAAATGTATATTTATATATACTAATCCAGAGGTTCCCGAACTGGGCGCCGCGGTGTGTTGTCAGGGGAGCCGCGGCTGTACCTCCCTGACGACTATATTATCTGGCCTAAAAATAAACAACGATATTTTACGATGAAAAAAAGGTCGTAAATTTTATTAAGGGCGCCACGAGTAAGAAAAGTTTGGGAACCTCTGTACTAATCCATAGATGGACGATAAATTTATGAATATTTTATCAACCAAAAGCATTTTTATAGCTCATGTGTACATATTTTCCTTGATGATTGCTAAAGATTTTGAAAATTTAAGACCTAAAGGGGTAAATAGGGGTTGTAAGAATACAATAGTGGTTCCATCTGACCATTAAATTACTGTAAAATTCTAGTAGGTACCTGTAAAATTCCACAGTTCTAAGTGTTCTAACGAATTTGCTTAATTTTTCTCTAAAGATAAAACGTATTGCAATTTGGAATTGTGTTTGATCAATTCCTCTAGATTTACTTAAAAGTTGATCATTTTATTTCATTGAAGACTTTTTATTTCATACTCTAGAAAATCGATGAGATATTCGAATAAGAATAGGTAGTTAATCTTTGATTGCTGATTGATTCACCGCAAATTAATTGTGTACCTCATATAGCTTGCATTAATGACTAAATTGTAGATAAATCGATATTTGTTTAAGATCGAGACTAGTTGTCTTACTAGTCAATCAATTCAGATTTTTGATTTAACATTTTTTTATATACTAAAAAGAGCCGGATATGCTACACCAGAAAATGCATTTAATTTTATGTATAAATATTCATATATAATATATATTATATATACATATATTATTTAAGTATATAAAAAAAACAAACAAATCATATTCTCCGGGTAAGGACAGCTAATTGATTTATTACTTGTTTGATTAAATATTATTGTTTAGTTGTTAAATTGAATAACATTGTATCTTTTTTTCAATAAAATAGATTATTATATTCAATCTTTGGAAAAAACTATGAAGTTCAATAGAACTTTATCGTTTAACACATGTGAGAAAAGGTAAACGGACACTTTGTACGGTATAAATAAACCGGTAAATATAGTTTATATATAAGATAAAATAAAACTGTTCAAAATTTGAGATCGCGAATCGTGATCGCTATCAGTATGAGACAAGAGTTTGGTGACACAGTACAATATAACATACAATATGTAATTTGGAAATCTTCAAATTTGGAATGTCAGACACCAAACGATTAATAATTCACATATGACAAATAATTTTAGCGAAGGGTGGAACAGTTCATTCAATAAGTTTCTGGAGTGTTTTGAGATCTTTGCAATTGGACGAATGTGCTAGTCATTTAAACAAAAATATAAGAAAAAAAACCGAAATACACAAAAAAACAATTAACGAAGGCTGTACACAGCATGAAAATAAAATAATAATAAATGCATAATTACTTGAAATAATATGCAATGCTTTTATTTTATTTTTTAAATTCATCAATAAATTATTATCATAACTACAATTTTTATTTTTATTATTGTTATTTATATCTGTAAAAGTGTAAACTGCAAGTGTATTATTATTATTACCAGAAATAGTACAAACTGTCCGCTGTTTTTTTTTTTTTTTTAATGACCGTACAAAGGGTCCTTCAACCGTGAGAAAGGGACAATTTTTCATACATGAAATATTTTAAAAACAGTTTGACTCTTTTTGTGCTTTATACGATTAAAATTTAATGTTTTTATTACATAAATATTAGATATTTTTACTTCCTAAAGATGCACATTGAATCATAAATTGTACCAACCATACTGAATTTGTGTAACGAGATACATATCGGAAAAAAGGTAGTATTTTTGTAAAAAAATATCACTTAATGAATAATCTTGTGAATAATCAAGGATGGTTCAAATTTATTAATTTTAAGATTTTTAGATGTATTTTGATACAGTTAGTATATGAGATATCAAAATATTCCCACTATGGTTTTATAATACGCTTGACGTGACTTATACGATCATACTACATTATAACATGTGATCATGACTAAGCTATTTTTAAGGGTACACTTTTTAGAAATAGAGTAGGTACTACTTTTTTTATAATTCTGTGAATAGTTTTTATTGGTATATTTTTGTTTTTAGGATAAAGGAGAATAGACGAAGGATGAAGCTATTAAAATTTATATAAAATAGAATCTAATTATACTTAAATTGTAAATAACTCATTTACGTTAAGTAAATGTAGGAATTTAGATTAATTAAACTAAGTAATTTTTACTTAACTGTAAAAATTTAATGCAGACAGAACTTAATCGAAGCGACAATTTGGAAATTATATTTTAATATTTTATATGAAATGTGGTAAGTTATTTAAAAAATATACATATAGGAATTTTTAAATTATAACTTAATAGTGATCACCCTAATTTTTTAACAAAAAAAATTACGAAAATTTTTTTTTTGAGAGAGGGGGGTCACTGGTGAAATGTAAATTAAATGCTTATAAAAAAACACGAGCATAATATGTATCTTTAGTACTTTTGAACTACTATTATTAAAAATTTAAAGGAAAATTAGTATTTTAAGATTTTTAATCTAGTGAAAAAATGATCAATATTTATAAAAATAAACGAAAATACATTTCAAATATCTATAAATATCTCAAAACTAGTCAAAGTATTTTGCATAGTTAATGGTGTATGAAAAATGCTGTTATAAAAATGCAGGTTAGGAATCAAGTTAACTCATCTTGAAAATTTCATGTACTAAAACTATTTGTTTTTAAATTAAGCACAACAAAATATAAGAAATACATAAATTAAATAAATATCAGATGTCAAGAAAATAGAATTTAATAGACTCATCAAAACTAATTTGATTTTCTTGTTTAAGATGTAACATTTAAGAATAAAACTTATGATGAGGAATTTTGTGTTACATTTTCAAGTTTTTGATAAAGGGAAAAGTCTTATATTGATAATACTTAATTGAAAAAAAGATCTGAAAAATCAAAAATATCTCTAACTATAGTAATAGCTCAATAACAGTTTAAATATTATGATAAATGGACAATAATTGTTAAATTTTACGTAATTTTAAACCATCTAACGTTGTTAGTTTTGACATTTCGTCAAATATACTAAATAACTTTTCCAAAAACTGGTTTTGCATAAAATCTCTATTTTTCTTAATTTTAATTTTTGTATTTCCGATGTACTAGATATTTTTTTACTTTTAATTTCCTAAAGTATCAACTAGATTCACTTAAATAACTTACTCATTAATTTAATAACTCATAATAATATATTATATACCATTATATTGTGACACGATTTGTGTTAGAGCAACGATCAACCGCAGTTGCAATAAATATGATTTACTTAACTTTATAAATAACCAGTTCTTTTTTTAAAAAGAAGCACAGTTTCTAAATCAAAAACTTAATTGATAAATCTTATAGTGAACTTAAAAATATTTTACATATAATTTTATTTTATTTTATTGTTAAGTTACGTCGCACTATGTTATACATCATCAACGGTCACCATAATAATGTATAGTTTAATCAAATATTATCAATTTCCCTTCATTCTTAAATAGGTTATTGATAATATATATAGATATTTATATTTTATACCCACGTAAAATTTTAATATTATCAGCTTACAAACTAAAATAAAATATGTAACAGTATATCATAATTATGTTATCATAATAAACATGTAGAATATGTATAATATAAATGTAGAATTGTAGAATGTTGAATTGTTAGTGTACCTGTATATGATTTGGTTTTCATAAAAATTTTATATGGATTATAATATCTCTAGAGTAACTTGTGCATAAATGTTTGTAATTTCATTATAAACATAAAGTCAATAAATTATGCGGGGTTGTGTGTTTTGGACATTATTATGGTGTTTATTTATGTTACTGATATCTAATTTATTCATGTGACAAGTGATACAAAATTAAAAATATTAAATTAATATCTGCATGATTCTTGTTAATACTTTTTACTTCAAACTCAACGTCCCACTACTCCAGAATTTTGAATTTTGTAACAATAATTTAAACAAATGTTTAAAATTAATTTAGAAACATTTTATATAAAATAAATAAGCTATGAGTTTATATTTGATTATGCATTCAGTATACGACGTTAAATCTGAGCACATCATTTATTTTAAATAAATTTTATTTCCCTATGTACTACTACAATATAATTAAAACAACAGAGCCTAATACCTGTTTAAAAAAATACCTAATTGAAAATATATTTATGATTATACATAAAATATTTTTATACTAAAAGCTATGTAAACTGTAAAAAACTATGTATCACGGCTGTATCCGAATTAGTATCCGATATCATAGACATCACAAATCCTAATTGATTTCCGATTAAGATTTTCAAAAAAGATGAAATATAATTTAATAGTAATATTTTTTAACATATTTTCTATCTATCATTATACAACATAAAATGATTAAATACTAAAAAATTATATTTAAAAAGATAACTTATTCCCGCTAAAAATCTTAGCCTACCAGAGTAGTACCTATTATACTATTATTCTGTAATAGAACGAACAAGTAATTTCTGTAAATCATTTCACAAAAATGCCTACATTTGTTTTTATTCCAACATTCCGAAAATTAGAACATCTTTCAATTCAGCGATGGGTTACAAGAAGTCGACATTGAAACATAACATGCAAAAATGCAAAGTACAGACCTTAGTCTAAAAATAAGGAAATATATATAAAAACAGAAATACACAAGTGTGAAAATGTGTAAATAATAAAATTAATAGATTAGAATTTATAAAATAATCATTGTTATACATTTTTACCCCAAATATACATACTTATACAAAAAGTGAAAGGTCGAATTAAAAAAGATTATGTTTATAAATATTTTTTTTTAATTTATACGGTGTATGCATAATAAGTTTATGTGGTAGGAGTAATAACATGGACGTGAAATGTTGAATAAGAAGTTTTCAGATTATTTATTATTATTATTACTATTTACCATGACTATTTAAAAATCTAAAGAAACATAACACTCATAAAAATAAAGAATTTAACGACTTTAAAATATATATATATATATAAGGTTATTCTTTTATCAAACAACACTTATATGGTGTTTGTGTGTAAATACCACCTAACATACACCTATAACACACAAACACCACCCAAAACCACCCAACTTTGGGAGGCTATATCTTGTAAACGGATTAACGAAAAATAAATATTTAAACGTGAAAATTCATTGAAAAAATAGCCTGTTTAGTTTATGAAATTTTAAGTATATGTGGTCATTTGAAAATCAAAAGTTGATAATGGTTTGCCTGATAAATATGAGGGTGAAAATATTTAGAAAATATAAAGTTCTAGAACAACATGGATCTAAAAATTTGAAAAGTCAATAGTTTTTGAAATAATGAGTGTTGTTTGATAAAAGAATCGCCCAGTATATAAAATGAAATTTATGACAAAAATCACAATTTTTAATTTTAACCATATACTTACAAAGAAGTCATTCCCATATCTGTATGAAGTGAAAATATTAAATAAATATTATAGATATATAATATGCTTTAAGTTCTTAGGACTTTACCATATGATTAAAACTAGATTTTTGTTACGATTTGTATGAATAGAATTTAAATCAAAATATATAAAAGTGCAATTCCATCCCTAATGGCCTCAGTTTGTAAGATTTTTCAGTGTAGATCTCGTTTGAATTGATAGTTTGGCTCGAAGCCAGTTATTGAGTAATTAAATGAAAAATATTAATAATTTTGATTTCAATTTTTACATTAAATATTAGCCCTTGAAATCTTATTTTGTCTAGTACATTTTTTAACTTAATCTTATAATCACAGTATACAATAAATGTTTTTTAAGCTAATATTGTGGCTATCAATGCCAAGATACTGAAATTCATCCTTGAATAAAACTAATTCCAAATAAATGACGGTAAAACAAATTATATGTATACTCTCTCAACTACTGTAGATGAAAAAATAAAAATATTTAGTCAACACTTTTTATCGTGAATATAGACAAATATTCATCTATCACTATTTGATATGTTCAGCATATTAGAGAATTTTATGCGATAAAACAATAATTTAAATGAAGTATAAAAAGTAAAGCCTTTAATTAATTACAATCACATATTGTAATTTAATAGACAAGTCAAACGGGAGATATTAAGTGGTAATCTCAAATTATTTAAGTCGTTTAGGTTTCGTTTATATTATGCAATGTAATATATAATGTTTATAATTAATAATTAAATAAATCAATACTTTGATGGCATATCATAATACAATATAATGTATATATCTATTTATTTTAATGATTTAAAAAAAAACACTCGGTTCTTATGTTGTGTGAACACTCACAATTTCACCTGAGGTGCATGGCACATGGATAAAAATAAAAATTTTAATAATAATTTACAATAATAATATTTAATGATGGTAGTCATCAGTGGTGTTTGGTGGCTGCTGCCGTTAGTATAGACGAGTGGAGCTCAAGAGCAGCTAGCACGTCCTGTTTATGCCGAATGTACATGCGACCGTCCCGCCACGGATGAGTCAACTGAAGTGGTTTGAAATCATCGCGCAAACATCGTTCCCGGGCCCCGGTAACAGATACCAAACAAAAGTTACCGAATTCGGTGCTTGGGTATATTGGTCCAGTCTTGCCTTTGACCACCACGGACATATTCAGCTGCTGCAGAAACAGTTGGACTACTTCGCGGGCTGACGTTGTCGGACTAATGTGCAACTTCAGGCTGGTGGGATGTGGCAGACCCGTATCGTACGCAGCGCAAACCTGTGTGACAACAACCGTGGTTATAGTAAAATCAACAGAATAGATACTTGTGTACAAATACCACGGCTCAACTGAACGAAAACCACTTACTTCGATGATCCCAGGAGCGGGGACGGGCACCAGCGATTCGCTTTTCATAGTAGTGTCCGAAAACCCTTCGTCGTCAACTTTATTGACGTCCTTATTAGTCCTGCGCGAAATCAAATCAAATGTATCGTGTCAAAATGATATCGTTAAGGTTGAGTCTATCAGTTTTAGTACGCGGCATACCCGTAATCGAATTATCGATAAACTTACGTGACGTGAATGGACTTTGATGGTAGATCGGCTAGATCTAAAGGCTGCTCGTCGTTGTACTCCGGTTCGTCTTTACTATCTGCAAACCAGATCAGAGGTAAAATTATAAAAATAAAAATCTGATAACGCATTTTTAAAACTAAGCGTGTACCGTTGCTTGTTTCTGAGGAACAACTCTGTTTTTTAGTCAACACGTACTCTCGATTGTGGACGGGCGGCGATAGGTATTGTTCGCTGCGACTTATCTCCGGACACACGGATTCCAGAGTTCGCATAGAGTTCAATCCTGGGCCTGGCCAACTACCACGGGACTTGACCAACTTTGAGTCGGGCAGTTGTAACAACTGTAAACCGTGTATCTATGTTATAACTATCAGCGTATACCGAACGCGCGGTCGTAAATATATGGTCACGAGGAGCGTTAAGTTTACCGAGTTGCTTTTGGCAGACTTCATTTCCAACTGACTGTTGCTGGCACTCTTTGAACAGTTGGAGTTGGATACTTGTGATTGGAACAGCCGCTCGCGTGCAAAGTTCATCACGTCCAACAGCCACCGCAAATGTTTCCACGCGGCGTTCAAGCTCGTCTCTAACGATTCCACGGTGTCCAACCTCTGCTTGGCCGTTTCCAGGTCGGACGAGCTCCACGCCTGTCTAATCGAGTACCTCGCGTCGTCCGAGTCCAGTTGCACTACACTAGAAAGGCGGGCGTACAGGAGCAGCGTTTCCGCACGGTACGTACCAAAGTGTATCATCTCGAACACCTGAACGCTGAGTGGTACTAGTTCGATCCGGTGCAGGTGGACGGCTGATTGGTTGCCCTCCCCGACCGCGCAAGCTACTTCGGCCGGTGGCACGATCATTATGAGGCTCACGTTCTGATCGACCTCGATCACCTCGCTGGTATACACCCGCTGAACCGTCCGTTTGTCTTTCGGTATTTGGACCAGTGAGAACAGCCGGTTGGTGGCCATCTTAAACTGCGAAGCGAACCCGAGGCACGTGTAATTACACGGCGCTCCGGCGCCCTGTTGAAGCCACAGCCATTCTTCCCTACAAAAAAATGATATATGTTTAGTTAACGATTTTTTCAACCCGTCGTAAATATTATTGATCTACGACTATAATGAAAAACCCCGTTTGCTAACAAATATTAGTATGTTCTCGCTCGATTGTTATACATACGAGATTAATAAGTAGGCCTAGAATTTTTATGCAATAAAAAATTGTAAAATATGCATTTTATTTACCAAAATACGCAAAAATATGCAAAAACAAATTTTTATTATTATTTATTATAATTCATAATTTTTTATTACTTATTATTAGCTCATATTATTACATTAAA